ACCCGCGCGCACAGTGACACGGGGGGACGTCCCGGTGCCGCGGCCACGGCGACTGCCCTGCACTGGTGCCCCCCGCGCGGCCGCAGCAGGGCCCTCGCGCCGGGGTTTGCGCAGCCTTGGTGGCCGGAGGGGACAACCGAGATGGTGAATGAGGGGCCCCGGTTGGCCCCGCGAGCCGGGGGGTGGACGCAGGGCCTGCTGCTGCCCAGGGGTCTCATCTTGTTCTTGGCTTTGTTTTACAGCAGCCGAGGAGGAGGAGAGGCGAAAGCTCCTTCGATATCAATAACATCGTCATCCCGATGTCCGTCGCTGCGACCACTCGCGTAGAGAAGCTGCAGTACAAAGAGATCCTCACGCCCAGGTACGGGCTGCTCCCCGCTGCGGCGGGGCTGTCTCTTGCCGAGCTTTGGCCGCGGATTTGGCCGGTTGGAAGTGGGTCTGGCCTGGGTCGTTGCTCCCCATGGCCGCTGCCGGTGAGGAAAGGGACTTTCTTACAGTGAGAGGTCGTCTTTGCTTGGAGAACTGGCTGGGTCATTTCAGGAGGCTGCGCAGGAGGCTGCCCTGCTCAGCCCTGCTTGTCCCAGAGCGCCAGAGAGGCGCTCCCGGCCCCGCTGGAGGGAGCGGGAGGAATCCGAGTCCAAGGAGGTGCCAATCCCACTTGGATGTTCCTGGATCAACACCCAGATCTGTGGCTGTTTTTTTGCACCTGAGCACTTGGTGTGAGCCCCGAGCGGGGGCAGCTCCTGCACCCGCTGCCTGGGGTCCAGCCCTGCTCTTCTGCTCTTCTAGTTCCCTTCCCTCCAGCCCTCCCTTTTCCTGGTCCTATTTGCTCTTCCCAGGCCTGATGCAGCCTGGGGGAGGAAAGGAGCCTGTTGCCAGGCCAGAGGAAGAGGAGGAAGCGCTGCAGGGTCTGCTCTGCTTCCTCCTCCCTTGGCCGGGCCGCTCCGGTCCTGCCCCACAGTGTGTGAGGGCCAGGACGCGTCTCCCGCACGTCCCTCCTCTGCTTCCATGTGAAGATCTGTTGGAAGTGGAGCAGGGCAGCACAGGCCGCGACGGAAGGCTTGCCTCAGACCCCAGGGCACTATTTTGGTAGCCAAATGGGGCTGTTTGACTCAAAAACAGAGCCCAAACATGTCCCTCGCAGCAGCAAGGCTTAACGCGTCTCTTTCCTTTGCGAAGAGGCCGCGTGCAGGGCGCGTTGCGGGTCCCGCTGCGCGCGGTCGTGCCTGACCCCTCCACCGTGTGTTTCAGCTGGCGCGAGGTCGATATCGGCGCCCTGAAGGCGAGCGGGGACGAGGACGGCGAGGAGGTGAGGCCGGCGCGGGGGCCGTGGGGCGGCCGCGGGGGACCCTGCGCTCCCATCCTGGGCCCTGCCCAGCTCCAGCCTGTCCTGGAGGCCGAGCGCGCACGGGCGGTCGCGCTGCTGCCGTTCCTGGGCCAGACAAACCAAAGCAATAATTAATAATAATTCAGCCTGCCTGGGAACAGGCTGCTAAGCGACTCCCCCTTGGCTTTGGTTTTTAGTCTCTTCCTAAGTAACTCCAGCTCACTTTAGCAGTGTTCTCCCGCAGCACCCGCCATAAACGTTTATTTAAATTCACCTGTAGCCAGTGCTGGGAGAACCGCGCTTCGGTGTGTGCAAAGACATGACCAAGCCCTGTGCCCGTTGCCTTTGCAGGTTGAGGACTTGTCCGACGCGGCCTTCGCCGCCCGGCACGGCAAGTGCGAGGAGATGGAGCGTGCGCGGTGGCTCTGGAGCACCAGCGTGCCGCCGCAGCGGAGCGGCCGCAGGGACCGTCCCCGGGGC